CCGTAAATACCCATGTATTAGCATGAAACATGTATCAAGTACCGTAAATACCCATGTATTAGCATGAAACATGTATCAAATACCATAAATACCCATGTATTAGCAGAGATTATTTTATTAAAAATTGTATTTATTGTCACAGTTTAATATTTCTTACTTTTTTTACATATGATATATCATAGCTGGCCCAAAGAACATTAGTATTGCACAAAAAGGCCTAGTCATCAATCGATACAGTACATATTCTGTGGTCAAAATACTAATATACACTCAAAACTTCTTACAATTCAGAAATACATTTACATAAAAACTACAGAAATGTTACTCTCTTTGCAGAAACCTTGTTTTATGCTGCCAATCACAAAATGCTATCTTCTGTTTCTGTAATTAATGTACATAAATTCATGATTATGGCTGTATCATAATTTGGCTATTTTAAGCATATAAAATGAGAGAGGGTTATTAAATCTGGCTCCTTGAAGATATAAATCAACTTCTGAAAAATTCATCTATAAATATAATCTTATCCAACCTAATCATAGTTAAATATTTAATAACCTAATGTGAATTACAGTAATTTGTAAATAGTAAAATACATAACTAATGTTATGTACTAAATTATTAACCCTACAATAAACTATCTTTAAGTTTAACATGTTTTTCTAGTTAATAATAATAGATATCACTCTTATTAAACTATACATTTTAAGTAATTTGTAAGCTTAAAAGAGAAAACTATCATTTATTAGTAATAAATATTACTGCAAGTTCAACCTTATTTAACTAAGGCTTATGTAAGGCCTAGTAATTACCTTTTCACAATTAACCTGTTCTTATTACTTGCAGCACGATTCGCCCAAATCTAGACCGTACATGTAGACTAAGATATGTTAAGGTAACTGAAAATATAAAAAATGTTTTATGCGTTATTTATAATTATAAACTATATTTCTCGTATGCTACGAGCCTTGTAGCTTGAGAATCTCCCGGGAAGACCCACGCACACGTGCTGCATTGATATTAACATTCGTGATTCAGAAAAATAATATAAGGTTTAAGTTTAAAATCAAGTTAAAGAACTCTATTGTTTTAAATGATTTAGGTTGCTTGATTTAGATATCAAATAATATTTTCGGTCTAGATTTGTATGGATTTCGGTGAGTAGTGCTACTCAACTATCTACTAAAAATTGTTGGTTACCTAATTTTACCTTTTAGTAAAACATTACAAAAGAAAGGTCTAGTAATAGTAGTACTAGTAGTCTTAGTTGTTAGTGTTACATTATACTGATTTTAACAACTTCATATAGATAAAACTGCATGATCTCAAACTTAGTTTTCTTGATGATATTTTATTATGTAAATAATCTTAAAAGCACAAATAATACTACTAAGCTTTTTTAAGTTTTCTTTCCGAAGTTCGGTTATATTTCTTTTTTTCACACTAAAGAAAATTTGGCAAAGAACGTTCAAGTTAGGCTTACTCACAACCCAGAGTCAAAACATCAACTTGTTACTCCTAAACCGTAGAGCTCCGCAAAAAAACAATGACGTAATAAACAGGAAACACTTCAAGAAATTTTACAAATGGAAAATCAAAATTACTAATAACTTTAATAAGTACAGATCTACTTAGTTCTATTAACACATTACGCAATACTTGATGGTAAAAACAACAAATATTACCAAAGGAACCAATTTTAGTACAAAAACGTTGTATCCTTGTCACTTCTAAAATTTTTACTAAGTGCCTGTATATAAACCGATGCGCGAAACAAACCCCACAACAACATGGCGTTCCCTTTCCGTTGTTACCCCTAATCTTCGCGCACACGCGGGGTTTCCAACCTAATTTCAAGGACGCGATAAGGAGTATAATTATCACCACATAAATAAGATATGTTTGTACTTCATAATCTCTATTAAACGTCATAAAAACATAAGTGCAATCATCAAATCCGCTGTATATGAAATTTACATAATAATAAAAACATAAACGTTAACTGCTTTTTTTAGCTAATTGTAATTACAGTGATAGTTGTTTTTTTTATAATCTGTAAAGTGTAAACTGTAACAAACGTACGGCTGAGAATAAATCCCTTAATAAGAGAATATCGAAAATTAAATTTTTGATTACGAATCTTAAGTAATGTATAAACATGCACATAATTTCTGTTAGAACCACTCACACAACAAATAAAAACAAACTTAGAAGTGCGATAACTTCACTCATGCTATGGTAAGCTTATCTGCCACAGAATTATTGGCGCTAGTCGGTGGAGCACAAAACTGGGAGTGATAATGTTTCTTACCTGTACTGACCAGATCAGTTGCTTGGTAAAAATGCAGGTGTAGCCAATGCTTTAACTTTCAGCACATTTTCATTGTTCAGGGTAGGAGTCATCTTCAGCTAAGACAGTTTTACTTTTCCAACAGGTTTTCCATAAGGGTTGAAGTTTTTTTGGGGCAGCTTTGTTAGAACAACAGTCTAGGCCTCTTGTTGACCATGTTATGTTAAAAACAGACATGTCAGGCACCAATAGTACAATATATTATGTAACAATTTTAACTAGAAAAAAAAAGAAAAAACATATATACACCGAGCATATGCCTGGCATAAAAAGTTCAAGCTCACAAAAAAGTGTGTCCATCAAAAAAATAAAAACACTGAGTATCTTTCTTTGGTTAATGTATTTTGTTCAAGATTTATTAATACAAAGTCTCGGATAGTTCTGTTTAAAAGTACAGGAAGAACTTGTAAGTAAAAGATGGGCACACATTTTTTAGTAATGTATTTGGAGTAACTCAACTAATAAAATCTCATCCTCTCCTTAAAACATTGTGAAGTTTAAAACAATCCTAATAATTGTTTTTACACTCCACTTAAAACTGTACTGCACAAATGGACAAACTGACATTTTAATGTATACTGTGAGAAGGATCACATAGGAAAAAAAACAATGAGGTTGTCCTCTCTTTTGGACAAGCACTCTCACATCAGATATATAATATTCTTAATCAAAAGTATGAAGAAATTTGTTCTATAATGGGACATTTTATTAGGAAGTGGTGGACAAATTAGAAAATAATTCTTCTAAATACACTTGGTTTGACTTAGTATTAGTATTTAAGTGACAATATAAGCAAGATCTTATACAAGTCAAGAAAAAGATTGCTCTTTCCAAAATCACTGGAATTTTCTTCATCGACTAAGTGTAATTTATAATGGCAAAAATATTACCTGAACTATCCAGCTTATCTCCAAATAATCACAATTCAATATTAACTTTTCTGATCAGAGCAAATTACCTACATAGATCAGACCTAAAAATTAATGATTGGAATGCAATGGATTCATGAGTTGGGTTCCCTTGTTGTTAGCAATATTTTTAGCCATCATCTCAATAATATCTCACAAAGTTCAGCCATCTTAGGATAGTTACGCTATTCCTAAATCCATTATAAACTAACAGTGCAGAATAATTTGCATAATTAAAATATTCGATAAAAGTAATAATAAAACACATACATTAGATATTTTAACCCAAAATGTTAATGAAGGTAATATTAAAGAAATAATATAATTTACTTACAAAAAATTTGAAAATCTGGATTCAGTATATCTTATAAGAACAGTTTTCACTTATTTGCATATCTGGAATATAGTAGGTCAGATAATATAATAGAAGCCTATAAGTATTGATCTCTCAGACCAAATAATTCTTTTATCTAATTCATTACTTTTACTAGCTATATTACCTTCATATGATTCCAGCTGTTTTGTATACACATTTTTGTCATTTTAAGTAACTCTGTGAAACATTAGAATCATATTTGCCAAAGTAGAAAACAATGGAGGATCAATGACCAATTAAAGGGACACTCAAGTCCATTGAAGCATGTCATACAGCCTCACAGCAAGAGTACTGATGTGTCTGTAAAGAAATGTTTAAAAGTTCTTTCAGAGAGCAGTGTTTTAGTTCTAGTTGTGTCTCAACTGACATTTAGGTTTAACATCTTATAGAAATTACGGACATGTTGGACGAAATATTGAGAAACATTACTTATTATTTAAAATTTTTAGACTGATTCAAGACACAGCCATTTATATATAGATAAATACTAGAAAAAACATGCTAGCTGACCATACTTGTTGATGGGTAGGGTTATTTTCTCACAAAATGTACTTAATGAAATGTTAGCTGGTAAACAAAATTTCAACTTTAAATATTTTATGTAATAATTTAACATAATTTTTTTAAAGATTGGTTAAGTTAGACTAGTAAAAACTGTTGTTTTGTTTTCTCCTAAAGGTCTGGCTGATTTCTGTACACATTATATGTGAAATAACAGCTATGTATATTGTTCCTGAGATCTGTATTAATTATAGAAGATTCAGCTGGACATGAAGTAGATTATGTTTAAGCCTATATGCTAAGGCTTTCATTGGGTAATATAAAAACTGCTAAGGCTTTCATTGGGTAATATAAAAACTGCTAAAGCCTTCATTGGATAATATAAAAACTGCTAAAGCTTTCATTGGATAATATAAAAACTGCTAAAGCCTTCATTGGATAATATAAAAACTGCTAAAGCCTTCATTGGATATTGTAAAAACTTCATATCCAGGACAATATACAGGTGAGGCCTACAAAACAATTTTAGTGAAGCATTCAAGAATTAACAATGTTTCACAATTTCCATCTAAATATTTTTAATAACTTTTTATTTTGTTTATTTTTTTATAATTTAGAAATATTAATGACAGGTGTAACCTAAACTATAATTTTAATAGCTGTAATAAAACTTAAGTCACAAACTACAATAGTTTTATGTGCAATTGCCATGAGCTCAATGATAGTTTTTAATTTTAACATCGTGAAGACACAGTAAAATTTATTACTGCAAAAATGAAACATAAATCTTTACAGAAATAATTAGTTTGAACCAAAACTGTATTGTTTTATTGCTACTTTGAAACAATCTTTACATATCTGCTATGTTTCTTTATTTAGGGTAATATTAGAAACCTTCAAATGTCAAACACTTATACCTCTACATCTTAAACATTGTAGTTATTACTACAAGAAATATCACATATCAGATATGCATTGTTAGAGATTTCAAATTACTCCAAAACACTTGTTTAACGAGTTGTAGGTATCTGGAATAAACTAATCCATATATATATCTGTAACTCATGAAAAAAAAAACTGAAACCAAGTTATTGAAAGTCAGCTACTTCATCATATACACAAAATACGTTTATTTTTATCTTGAGATAACAAACAATAGATTCAACATTTTTCTACAAAATTATAAAACTGAAAACAAAACCAATTCTACCAAATAGAAGTTATCAGAACAACTTCAGCTTGTTGTGAGTTTGTAGGATGTGTTAATAATCTGTAATATTCCTGCTAATGACGATATAAATCCTAATAGTCCTACAGTTACTGGTGAAATTTTCACAATCTTTAAGTTGGACAGTGGGATCCAAAAATCACACCCATTCTTTATTAGCTCAACTGTTACTGGTCGATGATATATCATCCACTGTATGAGGGAACTAAATGGATTTCTAGGTTGTGAAAGAAGAAGCATTTCCTTGTTCTCAACATAATTTCTGGAGACTTGGATTTGTAGTAAGCTTTTGATCTCATAAGCATCTCTTATTAAGTTCATAACCAAAGAATATAACCAAAATTTATTGCTCAATGCGGACCATTTATCTTTATTGACATCAACAATTCCTGCATGCCCAATCCATAATATATGATCTGCTAGTAGATACAGTGCTGAATTGATTCGAGAAAGTGTGATCGTTAAACGCAATGTCAAATCAGGAATGTTAATTGCTGTTAGTGCACTGTAAAAGACATCAAGGCTTCGGCCAAATCGAAATACTGTAAAATAAAAAAATGAAAACTCATAAATACTAGTTACATTGGTTTTTAAAACTGCTTTAGAACCACCAAAAAATACTTTAATTGGAAAAAAAATACTACGCTAATGATTCAAGCAAGGATAAACTTTTGTCACAGAAAATGTACTATTTTACATGAGTAGAGAAAAATGTGAAGGTTTGTAAAACCTAAGTGAACCAGCAGAAGAAGAAAAACATTTATATAACTGTCATAAAAATATGACATTTATAAAAGGTTCAGCATAATATGTCCATTTCTTTTGATAAATTATTCTATCATCAATTAGCAAAGTTCTTATTGTATTTTTTGTATTATATGCATCATCTCGAACTGCAAATTTATAACTTACTGTAAAGTTTCAGCAGACAGTGTTTTAATTATTCAAATAAACAACACAACCTACAAATACAGATTTTAAGAAATCAAACAAAGTTTTATCTTTGAACCAATGCAGTCTGAAGTCTTGGTAAAACTTATTTTCAAGTAAATAAAAAAAATATTAATAACAAATGCTGAAAAAAGGTAGTACAGTAACTCTGGTTATCAATGTTGCTTGTTGGTTCAGTTACAATTTAAAAAAAGGAACAATTTACTTTTATGTCATCATACTTACTTTTCCTAGCTGTGCTGAAAGTGTATTCCAAGTTCTGTAATCTAAAGACCACTTCCTTTTCATGGGAGTATTTTTCCATCAAGGCCCATAACATTCTTGTTCCATACTGAATTAATCTGGAAATGTAGAAATACTCAACTGATTAAACAAATCCCTGTAAAAACAACTTTCACCCAAAATCTCACATAATCTATGATGCTAGCAGTGACAAAAATTTACAGAATCATATGTAGGATTTTCTTACTAATGCATGAACAAGTGACACAAATGCTCAAACTAAACACTAAGGTAAAAGGTTTCAAGGTTTGGTGGCCAAAATGCAAACCTGTTCTTAAGATAGAATTAGATCATTTGCATCATTAAACTTAGAAAAGCTTGTTCTTAAGATAGAATTACATCATTAAACTTAGAAAAGCTTGTTCTAAAAACAGAATTACATCATTTAACTTAGAAAAGCTTGTTCTTAACATAGAATTACATCATTTGTGTCATTAAACTTAGAACTAATTTATCAAAAGATAAATAATGAGGAGAATACACTGGATCGTCAATTGTATTAACCTTTAACCTTCACAGGTTTTGTTAATCAATATTATGAAAATAATGTTTATATTAAAAGAAATCATCCACCCCTCATAATTAATATATTTATTGGTCACTTAGATTTAGTGCATATATCACATCTGAAAGCAACTCATTCTAAAGACCAACCACCCTGTTTTAAAAGTAAAACTGTCTCAGCTGAAGATCACTCCTACTTTGCCAAAAGTGGGACCTTGTTTTTACCATTCTCACCATTAAGTACAAAATAAGATGATGCACAAATACTAACAGTTGTCCTTAACAATCATGAAAACCTCAATCACATTCCCTCTAAACCTTCGTTTGTCAAGAGAAAATAATCTTGGATATCATAAGCAGTCCTCATATGACAACCTTTCTAACCCAGGCATCATTCTATTAGCCCTTCTCTGAACCCTTTCAAACAGTTCAATGTCTTTTTTTAAAGTAAAGAGCTAAACACTGAACATAATATCTACAGAAAAATAATTTTATACCTTATATCATGTAATATTTGTAAAACTAAATTTAATTATTACCCCTAGGAAATTGTACTATCTAAATATATATAGCTTCATACAAGTTTTAGTAACTGAACAGTATGCAATGTACCTGTATCAATGCTGGTAAAATTGGGTTGTACATTATATTTGGTGTACTTTTTAAGTTTAAAACTCTAAAATTCATCTCTTTCTAAACTCACAAATCTTAAAGATAGTGGAGGCTGTCAATAAGATTATACATTACATCAGTAAAATTAGATATGATTTCTATAACTTTGACTAGAATATATTGGAACAAGAATTACATGCTTTCAAATAAGCTTAATGTGTTTTTCACAAATTTAAAACCTACATTACAGCAATACAGAAATCTCTGATTTCAGTGTCTCACTTATCGACAAAATCTTAAAAAACATTTCCTGTTGTGAAAAAATGCAATATTGATTTTAAAACTTGGTGCCTTTTACGTATACAACGAGCCTGTTACTCCCACGTAAGTATGACACTAAATATCTATATTGAATCTGCTACTGTTACATAAAACAACAGTAGTTGTGATATAATTTTGTACTATATATCAATACTTATGTCTATATGGTTTCAAGTTCTGGATTTGTATGTTCATTTGATTTAAATATTAATTAACCTACTTGACATTTAGCTTACAATTTTGATAATATACACAAATTTTTGGTTTAAATATTAATACTATGAAATGTATAAACCAAGTAGTGTGTTTTATAATTTACTTTAATAAAGTACTTGTACTCAGTAGTAAATTAATGTACGATGCAGAACTCACACTGCGTCTCAAAGTCAATGAGTCATAGTGGTACTACGTATACTAATAGTAACACTCCAATATAACTTATTAATTAATAAACGTAGAGAGACAGACGGTCACAGACCTCAAGAGCTTCTCTCTTCCCGCTGTCTGGGAATTAAACTTTACTAAAGTTCCCATTACATCCATAGGAACTGGTGAGTTATACGCCATTCCTGTAAATGTTTACATTTAAGGAAAAACTGAAAACAAGGAAATTTTGCACTTTCTGACAAGTAACTGAGATACCTAACACTAGATGTCACTGTATACAAATTGACTTGCCGCGTGAAAATATGCTAGAATTTAACATTAACTTGTACTCAAACCAAGCTACCAACTGAGATCAGAACTAAAGATATATACATGTAGTTAACACAGTTAATTAGGTATAACTTACAAATTGTGTTACTTATGTTTTAATGCATTGTTTCATAAAAGCATTTGTTAAAACTAAACTTGTCTAAAAATAATGTTATGACCAATAGTACTAAAGCTTTAACATAGTGTATAGATGATTTTCATGACAAATATAAGCTTATAGAAGAATTTATCGTTCTTCCTCAGAACTAAATAATAATAATAATCCTTTAGATGTTTTTCTTACTTTTCTTTTATTGTGCAATTAAACAGAAAGTATTCAAAAAGAAAAATTCAACAAATAAATTAACATGTAATAATCAAAATTTTCAATAAGTTTGTTTGAAGTTAAGCACAAAGTTACATAATGGGCTAGCTGTGCTCTGCCCAACACTGGTATCGAAACCCGGTTTCTACCGTTGTAAGTCCGCAGACATACCGCTGTGCCACGGGGGGGGGGCTAAAATAAGTAACTTAGTCAGTCACGCGAATAACAAACTGTTAATTTTTTATTACAAGTTACAGCTTTTACAGTAGAGAAGTTTATTTTTAAAACAGGTATATACACACACACACACATACATATAACGTTTCGATCACTGGTGCAATCTTTTAATAAAATAATACTTAACCTATAAATAAACTCAAAATGAAACTGTTAATATTTTTGTTTGTTTGTTGTCAGGTAAAAATTGGTCAACCATATATACCAAACGAGGTGTGGTAATGCAAACAACACATAAATAGTATTTCTAAATTTCTTTTGTAAGTAAGATGAACTTTCTGTTCACTTACACTTTTTAAAAATGTTCGCACATATACGTTTCTTACTGTATGTGTAGTAATAACAAAAGAACGTTGATCAGAGAATGTGCTGGTTCCATTCTCTCTAGTTACCCAGTATTCCAGGTATGCTTTCTTGTGGGAAAGATTGATGTAAAGTAAAACATATTATGTAAACATTGGCAGTGATATTTTCCGCTGGCTGATTATGTGATGCCTTCAGAACCTATTGTTACGTCTCCGTTTGTTAACTGATTTTCCGTAACTTCGTTCCGTCGAAACTTAAGCGACACAAGTTCTTTCTTAATAAAAACTGGTTTATTCTTTCCGAATATAACTTTACCGATACACTCAACTTCAACAATCGCGCTAAACAAACGCTATAACAACGAACGTGCTCAATAATACTTCTGACTGCAGATCAATTACTCACTGTCTACACACACATTACCGCGTCACGTTGTCCCCCTCTTTTATATACCCGACTACCCTATATCTAGTAAATACTAGAGCATTCGCCAAAGTACAGGATAGTTCTAGAAACGTGGCGTCACAGTAGTCACGTGACTCGCCGACGCAACAATATCAACCTTATTTCGCTATTGGAATGACCAACAGTGACGTGGGTAGCATCATAAAAACCATGTTACATAATGTTATTTTTTCTCAGTCTGAAACAAATTCTTCATCTTAATCTACAGATTTTTGTGATAGCTATTAAAATTCCGGTAACAGCATTGTTAAATTGTCAATTTGATTGTTTTGTGTGTTGAATAAAGATTACTTACACTGTCTTTTACTCTATATTTGTTCTTAATGAAGAGATAGTTATTATAAAATAAGATAAATGTAATAGTAAGGTTATTCTAAACAAAGCTAATTACCGTATTTTTTGGAATATAAGACGCACCCTTATTTTGAAGACAAAGTTTTTCGGGGAAAAAGCTACAGCCGCGTTTGAAAGATTTTTATTGAACAAAAATTCAATTTGATACTTTAAAAATTAGTATATATTGTTCTAAACACAAAAGAGCTCAAAACATCAAAATAAGAAAATACCGTAAATTAAAAAAAGGTTTACTGTTATTTAGTTTGGTTCAAAACCTACTGTTACGACAGTGGAAGTCACGTGACGCTGGAAGCATGCACACTGGAGTATCTAGAAGGATCATGACTGTTCTTGGCAACTCTAGTCTTTTCTAGGCGCCCTACATTTTAGATTGTGCCCGGCAAATAAAGCGGAGATATAATTGCAGATAGAGAGATATAGAGACAGATAATTGAGTCAAGCGAGCGGTAGTGACCGTAAGTAAAGTGCGTGAATCGTTGTGAAATATAACGTGTGTTTTAGTTAAAGTGACTGTGGAAATTAAGTGTATTGCAAAGTTGTACTGAGAAAGAATAAACTAGTTTTATTTAAGAAAGGATTTGTATCGCTGAAGTTCTTCGGAAAGAACTTTTACGGGAAATTAACAAACGAACAGAGACATAACACTACAAAATCTTCATTGCTTTCACTGTAATTTATCTTTTTATTATTTAGGGAGCATTATAAATAGTTATATTTTTAAAAGAAAAAAACTACTGTTCTTATAAATAACACATTCAGTTGAACTAAACTATGCATGCCTATTTAAATATATTTACACATGGCTTGTGTATATCGTACATATATTATTCATACCTTCGGTGTATAGGACGCAAGCAGATTTTGACATCAAATTTTGGGGTAAAAAAATGCGTCTTATACATCGAAAAATACGGTATGTTGTGTGGTAACACAGTCAAAGAAATTCTAAATGACAGGACTAAATTTGTAAGTTTAGATTAAGATGCAATTAAAACTGGTAAATTACAAAGGTCTTTATTTATTTTTTTAAATTTTAAGATCATTTACTGACAAATAATGAATATCGTACATTTAAAGACCAATTTGTTATAATGCAGGAATTATTTATGGAGTTTCTAAAATTCGTAAAGAAGGTTGTCTTGTATGGGCATGTACAGAACTAGCTGGATTCTTAATCAAGCTGTTATTTAGACATGAGTATACTATAAAATAGTTTTGAGTTTTCACAAGAAATAAAAAATTTGGATTTCAAGAAATAGGTTTACTCTGCTAGCTTGGGCCTAAAGTCCTTATACATCGATATATCATTCGAAGAAATCATAAATTTGTTTACAGAATTACTTTATCATAATTATAATAATCAAACGAGTCCCTCCTCAAAGAAAAAACAATCAGGAAGTATAACATGCCACCAATGGATCCAATTTCCAGTTTAACAACGAGATGTATGACCAGCTAGATGGGGTTACTATAGATTCTAGGTTGGCTCCATCGTTTGCTAATTTGTTTCTATGTCCTCAGGGGAAAAGTTTGGCTAGAGTTGTTTGGTTTGGCCCAATACAGTTTAATCTAGCATATTACAAAAAGTATATAAATGATACCTTTATAATTTTTAGAGAAACTGGATATGGTGAGATGAGTTCTTGAACTATCTCAGTAGTAAACATCCAAATATCAAATCCACTGTTGAACACCAACATCACCATAGATGATTAACTTCCATTTTTAGACTTGTGTATCCATAAAATTATGGAACATTTTAATGTGAAATGTTCCATAAAAAAGACGTTCATAGGATTATAAGACAACTTTGAAAGTTACATACCATTGTATGTTAAGAAAAAAATAATTAAAATACTGATTCTTCGAGCATAGGAGTAAACTATAAACGTTCACTTGATCATAAAGAGATAGAAAATATTAAGGAATTCATTTTCAATAAGAATCATAAATCAAATAATTTATGATTATATTAATAAGACGGTATTTTCTATACTATCCAATTGGAATGTACCAAAGCAGAAAAAAAAATACTTGTGCCCTACCATGTGCTGGGAAACAGGAGATTCTGATTAGAAATAAGTTTAAAAAGTTGTGTCGTCGAGCATATCCTCAAGTAGAATTGGAATATGTGTTAAAGTCTGTATGTAGATTACATAATTTGTATAGAAATGAGGATCGAATAAACCTTTTAATGTGGTATAAGAATTTAAATGTCCTAAATACTATTCATGTTGTATAGATCCCACCACTAAAGTGCTAACAACATGTATATAAGAACATGTAAATTTGCGATGTACGTCATACTCTAGTGTTAACAGACGTGCACTTTATGAGCCATAAATATAGGACAACTTAAAATTCTTGGTAGCGCCAACATTAAACGGGATTTGAGAATGAAAGCGAATTTATTAATCAATAGACTGAAACCTGAGTTAGATTAGCATAAAAGTGTTGTCCATTTACTTACAAGTTACATGTACCGACACCAGTTGCTGAGAAACCAATGGACTCCACACTATTGGTACAACCAAGTCTGCAGGCGGCCTAAAGACTAACGTAATATCTTCTTCGTATATTTCCTTATTTTTCACCACTTTAAAAAGGGTATTTTTGTTATTTCCTTCAGTTCCCTATTTATATTCCGTTAATTACTTCCACTATCCTATCTTTTTTTAAAAATTCTTCTTATGAACATACTAATATTATTTTTATTGCTTTATAATCACTGAACTTTATAATCTATATTTTAACCTCATTGATACTCTTTAATTTCTTATTTTTTAAAATTCATACTTTTTCTAAACACCAAATACACGCTCCTGTCTTTTGTTTATGTTTTATAGATAGCATATGATTAGCTACAGATATTAATGTTGATAAAAATCTGATGTATATAATGACTTAAATAAAATTGATAAAAATTAGTTCAAGAACTTAATCTCGTTTACACCAAAACAGTTGTTGTTCAAGTAATTGATGATTTAAATAGCATTTTGACCACTACTATGTATGTTATTGTTACATCTCCGTTTGTTAATTAACTTTCCGTAACTTCGTTCTGACGAAACTTTAGCGACACAAGTCCTTACTTTTCCGAATATAACTTTACGATACACTTAATTTCAATATTCGCGCTAAAACAAACACTATAACGAACGAACGTTAACTTCAACAATACCCTGTGACTGCAATTCAATTACTCACTACCTACACACACATTATTGTCCCGTCACGTTGTCACCCTCTTTTATATACCAGGCTACCCTATATCTAGTAAATACTAGAGCATTCGCCAAGGTACAGGATAGTTCTAGAAAATAGGTGGCGCCACACCAGTCACGTGACCTCGGTGACGCAACATTATGTTATAATTGGTCAGATGAGCCCTAGTATTAAGCGAAAGGCCTCATTGGCACTAAATATAGCAAACGTAGAGTGGTTGACATATTATTACAGTTTTATTTACTTTTACTCGTAAGTTTTACAATTTCTAATTTAGTATTCTCATGATAATGCTGTGCTCGTTTGACTGTCTCCGGGATCAAAAAAGGCTAGCTTTCTGATTCACTAATTGTTCTAAGTGATAAATAATGTTAATCCCAGTAAATAGGTAATAAACAAGTAAGTGTCAAATAAATAAATAATTCTATGTTAATAAAAATCATAAATCTAATCTTGATGTGTAATAACTTAAAAAGAACTGATAAAAATTACATTTCACAAACTTAATTTAGTTTACACCAGAACAGTGTTGTTCAAGTAATTAAGGATATACACATCGACTTAACCACTACGATATCTATCGTAAACTCAAATGGCTTTATTAATGCTGATATTGAGATCAAGGCATCATTAATACACGGACCACTTTATTTTAAAAGGAATTTCTTTTAATTATTTTGTTTTCATACTTCCACTTTTTGACACAGTGAGGTGCTTCAGTGAAAACTAAAGCTTACCGAAGCTTATTGAAGAAGACTCGGAAATCTATGTTTTCGGTATTCCTTCAGTTTTTTCAGTGGAGACCACGAATGTTTCTGCTGATATTTCCTTTGTTTACAATTAAAAAGTTCTTACGTTAAATTGTGCGTGTGTTCGCTGATTTTTACTAGTATTCAGCAGACCCTTAGGTTTCAGGTGTTTTCGAATTATTTTAATTTTTCGCTAGAACAAGAGTTCATACGATCCTCGAATGTAACTCGTATTTGTCTACATTTGCCTTAAGCTACATACTTAGCGTTCTTTCAGTATTTCGGGCTTTGTCGTAATATCCAAGCTAGGATCTTGGATTTCATAAAATATATTTAGATATAGTTAAACAATAAGAGGTATTTTAACCTAACTGAGATTGTTTCCTTTTAGCCTGTTTAATCCGATCTAGTTCAAATAACGAGGAGAAACTAAACGAGCTGACAAGAGGTTATTATTTATTAAAGTCTTCACTCACTCGATCATTTGTCCTTTTTGTTGTTTGTAGCGTATTGTTTATTGCATTGAAAATAGTGAGAGTCATTAAACATTTATATGTGTAAACTTCTAACTTGTCTCTTTCTCCTGCATTTATCTGTTGAAACTTGAAGGATATCCTGTGGTTAACATATTACA